GATGCTTCCATAAAGTTATGGTCTATGTAGATATTTTAGGCCCTTCTAGAAGGTATTTAACTGCAAGAGATGAACAGTCTCACTGATATCTAAATGGAAATGGAAGCATGATGAACAACTACATTAAATCATAGCACTTTTTTGTTTGTTTTTTTGAGACAGTCTCACTCTGTTGCCCAGGCTGGAGTGCAATGGCACGATCTTGGCTCACAGCAACCTCTGCCTCCCAAGCTCAATTCTCCTGCCTCAGCCTCCCGAGTGGCTGGAATTACAGGCACCTGCCACCGTGCCCAGCTAAACAGCACAATTTCTAAGTTGCAATGCCTCAAGAGAAAGAAGCAGTAAAAATACTAAGCTGAAAATCACTAAAAGAAAAAGGTTTTATTCACATTGAATCCTGAGTAACAGAATATCCTGAATAGAGTAACAGAATTGTAAATCCATTTTTTTTTTCAAATGAGGAAGGAAAAGTAGAAGAAGAAACGACGAGTTAAACAGTGAAAATTCCCAACAGTGCCATGAAATTACATAAAAGTTACCAAAGATAACTTGGTCATAGGCTAGAAGCTAATAAAAAACACTTTCAGATGAAAAAGGGAGGTTGACAACAATAACAAAACTTTAGAACAGTTCCTCAAGAACTTCATTCCTGCACTTTACTCACTACTATCATCAGGATACAGCAAGTATCCTCTTTAATAATAGTGGTTACAGGTTTCAAAATATCTTCACATATATTATCTTATTAAATCCTGAGAAAAACCAAATTAAACTCAAATATAAATAATCTGGTAACTAACAAAAGCACTTAATAATGTATGCACTTGACAGTAAAAATCCAACTTTTCCTTTGAAAATTCCCCACGATATTTGACAAACTACGAAGAGACATTTTATGGAAGAGCAACTTTCTTGGCACTGGAAGTAATATAAGTCTTTTGAAGAATAACAGAGTACAGCTAGAAAGAGCCATAAAAATCCTGAAACCCTTTGACCTAGTAAATCCACTCTTGGGTGCTTTCTCTAAGGAAATAGTTATACTGAAGCAAAACCTATTAGTATAAAAACGTTGGCCAGGCTTGATAGCTCACGCCTGGCCCGCGAATCACAAGGTCAAAAGATGGAGACCATCCTGGCCAACATGGTGAAACTCCATCTCTACTAAAAATACAAAAATTAACTGGTCGTGGTGGCCTGTAGTCCCAGCTACTCGGGAGGCTGAGGCAGAAGAATAATTTGAACCTGGGAGGTGGAGACTGCACTGAGCCAAGATGGTGCCACTGCACTCCAGCCTGGAGTCAGAGCAAGACTGCATTTCAAAAAAAAAAAAAAAAAAAGTTCACTGTACCACTATCTATAATAACGAAAAAGTGTAAACCCAAATCACAACAATAGAATGGGTAGGTAAAAACCCTAAATTTTTTTTTTTAATACTGGCCAGGCAAAGTGGCTCATGCTTACAATCCCAGCACTTTAGAAGGCCCAGGCAGGTGGATCACCTGAGGTCAGGAGTTCAACACCAGCCTGGCCAACATGGTGAAACCCTGTCTCTACTAAAAATACAAAATTTAGCTAGGCGTGGTGGCACATTCCTGTAGTACCAGCTACTAAGGAGGCTGAGGAGAATCCCTTCAACCCAGGAGGCAGAGGTTGTAACGAGCTGAGATCATACCACTGCACTCCAGACTGGGCAACAGAGTGAGACTATGGCTCAAAAA